GCAAAGGCCAAACACCGAAAGTCACTTAAGCGTGCCGGCACGTTCGACGCCAAGCGCTGCAGCGGTAGTTCGTTTTCGAGTGGCACGCCGTGTCGTCGCTACGAGGACACGCCGTTGCGTTCTCCGTTGCCCGATCAACGCCCAAGTGGTAAAGAGAATCGGAAAAGGAATTCGTAAGAATACCGCTTCTGCCAACACTCTGATAGTTCTGATGGCAACGTCCAACGAGAACTTTCTGTGTAATTTTTCTCTCTCTCTCTCTCTCTCTCTCTTTCTTTCTCCCTCGTCTTCTCTTTTGCGTGGACAAGGCGAAAGAAATTAATAATTCGTCCGATTCTCGTCGTTGTTGAATGAACCGGAGTCGGTCTGTTGTTCCTCTTTGTAAGAATGACTGCGAGAGTATCGCGAATTTATTCGAGAGTATGAACCGGCGATATATAACTCACTCGGGTGTTTGTCAGGCAAACGGAGAGAAGCAACAAATCCCCTGGTAAACATAAAACAACGGTACTGCATCGAGTCGGTACGGATACGCTTTGATGTGCTTCCACCACCCGCGAGCGTCTCTACCAGCTCCTTTATGGCAGCCATCGGGCATCTGTCGTACCGCCGTCTTTTTCTCCGGCTAATTTATTAGCACCGCTTAGAGAATGGCGCGGAGAAAGATCCGGCTGCAGGCGCTAGTCCCGAGCAGCGACTCGTCGCTGCGTCTCTCGGTATAAATCGGGAGACGGATCAGTCGGATACAGCGACGCCGGTTTTACGAGCATCGAAAATAGGGTGAGAGGACGCGAAACCGGGCGCGCGCGTTCCCGTTCGAGCTTAACGCGATGAAAACTCTCTTCGCGTTAAATGATTCATTCCGAATGAGAATATCGACGATGGCTACGCTGTCGTCGACTCCAATCTCGCGTTAAGAAAACGCGATCGAACTTCTGCTCTTCTGTTCCTGCGTCACGCGCTACGACGATTATATTCGAATAAGTCAGCTGTACGTTTTACGAAGACAAATCGTAGGAAAGCGTGGCAAGTAGTGCGACTATTTTACGTTACGTAGAGACTAAGTTTTCGCGCTACGTTAAACTCTAAACGCGCAATTCCGAACGTAAGTGCGATATACGTACGTGGTAGGTCGTACGTCGACCGCGCCCCTCGAAACGAATCGGTCGCTGCATCGAAACATCGCGAGAAATTAAACGACAGGCGTGCCTAATAAAAATATTTGTTTTCACCAGAGGCAGGACTCTATTCCACGAAGGAAACCGTCGTTCGTTCTGTTCGTTCGTTGTTCGTATACCAGTAAACACGCGCGTTATTCGAGAAATACGTTTGCCGCGAAAAGCCGACAACGAAGCGAGAACGGTGAAGTTCTCTCGCGTGATCTCATTTGTCCAGCAGATATATATCGTTTTTTGGCATATTTGCTCGTCGATGCGATATCGCGACTGAATCATGATCACCGGAAATAACGAAAGCAGATTAGAAAGCTGGTTTGCATACGCTGCACGCGGAAACCCCGAACTCCGGTCTTTCATGCATGGCTAATTCGTTAGGCATCGAGAACGATCGCGCATTTGTCGTCGGTGTATCGACGACGCGTATCGGCCAATTTCTTGGAAACGAAGCGACGTTCTTGGCCGCGATCTTTCCCACCATCGATCCATACAGGCCAATTCCCATGCTTCTTCCGGATGTGTTTCGACGGACGGACGATAAAACGTCGGAGGGTTTTCCGTGTTTAGTCGCGCAACTTATGCGGGTGCCTGGTTTCCGCGTCAACCCCAAGCCTGGGACGAGCAAAGGACACGGCCATGCTTTTTCCGCAGGGTTGAAGGATTTATGGGAACGGAGGAGTGAGGCTTGGAGGCCGAAAAATGCGTCGGCATTGTTTGAGGTGAAAGTTTTACGCAATAGGCGTCGTTCGCCACGGGTCACCAAGGGCTTTTATTACGATAGACAGGGAAATTTCTTCTTGTGAGAGGAAGCAGGTATATAGCAGGAACGCGCAACGCGTGTCCTTTCAGGACGTTGGAAACCATCGTAAATTTTTTTGCTCCACGTTTCGCAAACCTCCCGCAGGTATACGCGTTGCCTTCTTTTTGTCTACTCGAGGTTTTCGTTTTTAAAAAGAAACAATCGACGACCTAGAAACACGCAATTTTCGAATATCAGCGATTCGCTCGATTTCCGTCTCTCCGTACGCTGAATGGAAAAAAGGTCGGCTATTACCAAACGACAAACAGCCGTTTCTAAATATAATGGAAACGGGAGAAGTTTGGCTTTGAATACGCGAGGTCCGTCTGTCGTCGAATCGATCATTTTCATTCGGTTGCGCGGAATCTCGCGACGAGTCTCGTGGCGTTTCGGATGAAACCATATAGTACCGCGCTGGCTTTATAATTCCGGACCGCCGAAAATATCTGGTAGCGAAGACGGACGACGGCCGTTAGGATGCGCGTGCGCCAACTTAAAGCACTCTTCCTGCTTTATGAATGGAGCCGTGGATCACGAGTCGTGGAGAAACGCACGGAACGGTAGCCAACTCGATCGTGTCCTCTGAAGCTATTCGAGCGACGCTTTATAATTAGCGCGCCGCTATCGAGCCTTCTCTTCTCCGAAGATTCGTTCGATCCCCTCTCTGCCATCGACGACGTTACTCGTCGTCGGACGAATATTAAGAAGGCCACGACGTTATCGGCGATTCTCAGGGTGAACGATCGCGTGGCGAGCAACTACGCTTTCCGCTTTAAAACGCATCGTCGCTTCTTTCCTGCCGTTCGCGCGATGTAACGCGACTCGATCGAAAGCGCCGCTCCAGATCGAATTACCCGCGAGTTTACTTTTTCGGACATTAAGAAGAGAAGATGCCTTGAAACTGCACCTGTTGCGCCAGCTACGAATTTTCTGATAAATAGCCAACGCGTTAGACTAACGCGATCTTGAATCACCCGTCGTTCCTCCAGTCGAAAAGAGCGGCAATAAATAATGCCAGCTTTCCACAACCGATTACTTTAAACGATCCGCTTATCGTTCGATCGAAGGTTACGCGAGCGCAAAAATTTGACTACGAGTCCGCTTGCCGATCTACGTACCCTTCCCTGTTTCGACTTTTCCACTTTTTACCACGATCGTCCACGTAATCCATCGTTTCGTCCGATTATAATTTTACGAAAAATTTTAGCCACGTTAAACGAGAACGATATCCAGCGGCAATCTTTTCGCGATAATATACTGCTAATTAACTTCCTCGGAGTAGCGAACGTATGCTCGATGGCCGACTCGATAGACGAGAGATCGATTCGTACGGATCGGCGTATTTCTCGGGTCCTTTCACCGGGACATCGTAAATTAAACGGAGAAATTAGCTCGAGCTATGCCGCACGACTCGAATGCCACAGTATATTTTGTCGTTTCTTAATCTATTCGCGCCTACTTTCGCTGACGGCTTCATCGTACTCCGGCTACGCAGCTGTTAGAAGAAAGAAAAGAGAAAAGAAGAAAAGAGAAAAAGTACGATGGGTCTCGTGACTTTATACTTTTACCCACCCAAAACTTATATCGAAGCGGAGCAAAACAACGAGAGAATGGAAATTCGACGACTAAGATTCGTCGAATTTCGATGAACCGATACGCAGTGAACAGATCCGTGTACGTTCGACGAAGAAGTGACGCGGTGCGTGGCGGAGAATTCGGGGAAAAAACGTCATCGAAAGGTGAATTCGCTCGGAAGCCCTGGCACCACGGAAGCTGGCGAAAAACTGTGGCGTTTACGGCGCCGAAACTCCGTAGACTGCCGTGGATTTATGTACGCGGCGTGTATCCGCGCGCGCGCACAACGAGATTTATCGGCGCTTGGCCGAGTTTCGGTAGGGCAAGTTGAGTGAATTGTAAATGTTTCCGGCAGAACTTCACCAAGATGGCGTCCTCCACCAGGGGCGAGTTTGTTTACGCCTCATGGCTCCCCACGTGGGAAAAGCAGCATGGCGCGCGTCGAGCATTCAAACCCACGAATCCACTAGCCGTTTGACGGCTGTTTTTCTACCAGCGCCCACGAAATTTCGTCGGCTCTGCTTTCATTTTATAGCGAGATATTTTTTCTTTCTTCTTTGTCACACACACACTGTACCGTGTCTTTGTTTGTTTCAGGAAAACATTCTCAAACTTTATGAATTAATCGTCCGTTAGAATCTTCTCGTATACGTATAGCATACATAAATGTCACGTAAAGAACGGTAATTTATAAAGGAGGATTATTACTTTGAGCGGTTTCGGTACTATTCGATGATCGTTTCGTAAAAGAAAATGAAGATTTGCAAGAGTATTACGCTCGCATGCCTGTTCGCTACACGCGAGATAATTTACGTTGTTTCCGTGTAAACGGATACGTTCGAAACTCCTTAGATACTCGAGGACGAGAGGGACGGATTTAACGTTATAATTTCAACGAACGGCATACTACCAGCGAAGATAAAATTTTCCTCCGACTTTATAGTCAGTTTAGATTAACCGATGCGTAAAGATGTTTAACGTATGCGTCGCGAACAACTCGATAAAATAATTTAGACGCGTCATGGGAATAAATAATACAGCGGTCGATTACGGAATCGAAGAAAACGAGGAACGCGTGGAATCGATGAAATTTATTTCTTCATTAGCGAGCTTTCCTGGTCGTGAGAAAAATGTCCTTTTACCCAGAGGACGAATACGCGCGTGAAATTACTCGGAAAAACGACTCGTAGTACTATCGAGCGACGTGCTTCCACGTGGTCTCGCGTATACCACGCAGGAAAATAACAACGAACGAACGTCGAATCTGGAGATTTTCGAAAATTTTCCTCCAGACAACGTGCCTTTTTTCTTTCACGGAATTCTTTTTACCAAACTATCGACACCCTAACGCTACCTCCGTTGAAAATTTATTTTCTCAGCTGGTCAGAGTTCATCGTTTCGGGGCCCTTTCTCGCCGATAAGGATACGATACGAAGAAATATTTCACTTACATTTCATACGTTGTGGAGCGTGCTGTTTCCTTCGGGGCATCTGCGTCCTTCGGGGATGCTCGATTCTCTCTGTGGCCTCCAGGTCTTCGCTCGTTAAACGCAGTCGATCGGAACCCAAACATGTGACGGTCGTGTGTCGCGATCTCACTCGAAGATCCGGCGTAGATCTTCCGCGGGAAACTGTTCCAAGTTTCCCCTTTTCTATACACTACAGTCACCCACACGCGTCTACGCAACGAGCACTACCTCATCGCGATTTCCATAGATCGTTTCGTTGTTGCGATCGATGCATCGACGATCGGTGTCATTCTCGTCCTCCGATTTCTTTCTTTCTCTTACGAGGAAACCACACCTATATCGGTGCCCCGATACACTGCTACGTAAGCACGAACAACGCAACTGTTATGGGCTAGATCGTATACAAGGAGAATATTTTCTAGTTTCGGTATTGTAGTTAGATTCACGGAATGTCGCGCACTGTTTACACTTGAACAGCCCAGAAAGTCGCCAAGTTTCGTGATCCATACGCTATCGGCTCACTCTTAATCTGGATCTTGTGATCACCAAGCGTGATTATTATCGTGTGTACATCACTGTCGTATCGCGATCGAGGAAAATCGACGAGGCACGATTTTTTCCAACTTCCAGTATACTTCACTGTTTGAAAATACGGGAACGCTTGCTCGAACGAAGGTTACGAGAACGTCGGGTATGCCGCACCTACGGAAGATCCAAGACAAACGTGAGAAACGTGGCGTCTTCTGGAAGTTGCGCGTCGCGAGCGAGACACCAAAACGATCGGAAAGCGATCGTTCGTTCCTCCGCGTGTATCATCGAGGAAGAAACGGCACGAGACGAACGTCGACTCCGCACTTTGTGAACGTGTTCACGCGTTATCGTCGACCGACTCCGTGTCACTGGCAGATACTCGCGGGTTCACTTTGCGCGTCTTTCGAAAAGTTGCAGCGGTGACGGCGAAAGAAGAAGATCGGGACGCGCGGCTCTCGAAGACGGAGGAACGAGCCGTTGCTGCGCGAAATCCGATCCTCCGTTGGAGGATCTAGAATTTCGACGATCGCGCGATAACTTATCTATCGGGACGTGTGCCTCGCGACGACGCCTTGCATCCACTCGGGACGCGCGCACGACACTCCGCCGTACGTACTTACGTTCGTACGTACGGAGCTAGCGAAAGCTCGCTCGACAGAGGAAAATGGAAAAGAGCAAGAGAAACAAGGGGAGAAACCGATACGCGATCGCATCTGTGTGCGTGCTCGTTTCTGAGTGTGTATACCTCGGAGACCAATTGAAAGCGCAAGGGTGGAAAAGAGGAACAGAAAGAGAAGAGGATCGCGAAAAGTGCCGAGAAAGATAAAGATAGCGAGTGAAAGAGAGAGAAAGGGAGAGAGAGAGATAGAGAGAGAGAGAGAGACAGAGACGAAGAAGAAACGCGGATGGATATCGATGAAGAGAGAAACGAAGAAGGTAAAATAAAAAAAGGAGGAGCGTGGGACAGAGCGAGAAAGAATGCAGGGGTAGAGGGCAAGAACGTGAGCAAGGTAAAGAGAAAAGAAGCGGAGGTGGAGGAGGAGGTGGAGGTGGAAGTGGTGGCTACCGTCGTTCGTGGATCGCGAAATCGAGCGGGCGGCGGTCCAGCGCTGACTGACTACGGACTGGCGTCGCGGCGGCAGCCCGCGTGGTGGGGGGCCCCAGGAGTAGTAGTCCTCTTTCCCTCTCGTCTCCTCCACTCGTTCTCGTTTCCTCGCTTGCCAGCTCTTCCTTGCTATGCTTTGCCTCTTGCCCTCTCTTCGCCGACTTCTTTTTTCACTTCTTCCACGCTGTATACTCGCGTTCGCGTCCGCGTTCACCTTACCGACCGATACGCGACTCGCGGAAAACCGAACGATTATCGAAAGTTACAGTCGAATCGAATAATCGACGCGACGCCAGTGACAAAATGGAGACAAAAACGAGAGGTTCGCGGTGCAGCCGGAAAACGTACACACGGATGGACGGACGAAATCAGAGAGACGATTCTCCGCAACCGTCGGTTTTCTTCGGCTACTTGTCGATTCGACACCGCGGCAATAACGGCCAAGGGGCTGGTAGAGAGGTTAGCGGCGGCGCAATGACAACCACTCCACGTCGCTGGATGCACTCACTGCTTCAACGTGATCGCACATTGCCACAAACGCGTTTTCTTTTATCTCGCTATGCGGCCTCTCTTTCGTGGAAAAAAAAAGAGCAACGATTCGCGAATGACCGGAAAGGTGCGACGAAAGTTCGTCGATGGGCCCGAGGGACTGACGTTGCGCTCGCGCGCGTAAGAGATGGTCGAGAAAGGAGGCGGGGTCCCTAACCACCTCGGCCCCGCTCCAAACCGCGAGAGGGGAGAACCGCTCTGTACGAGTGACTTTTGTTTCCGCCGCCAGAGGCGCTGCCTCACGATGTAGCTTGCCATCGTACTACGGCGTCACGGAGCCACACCTACGAGTTTCTCGACAATTTCAACCCTTTCAGATCGCTGATCATCACGCAGAGTTCGGTGAGTGCGTCGTAACAATTGTCTTTTATCAAAGTACGATATATTTCATCGCGAATTCGTTTGCACTTCGCGATTAAATCGATATCGAGGAATCTTCGAAGCTAACCTCAAAAGTTGAACGAACGTCGTGTATTCGATAGTATTTCTAGAACGTATATAACGTGGATAAGAACGTTTGACAGATTAGAGAAAACGAAAGATAAACGCGTTGCAACGCTGATAATAATACATCTAACGACAATAACTTTGGATACGTATATGTAAGAACGATTCGTTTTCGATTTAACGTTGAAGCGATATTAATAACGTGACTCGATATCGATGCGTGTGTAACTGCAAACAAAATCGACGTATCGATATGAAATCGACTAACGTGCTCGAAGTTTGAATTCTAACGACATCGGGACTTTCATGTAACGCCAAATTTTTTCCACCGTCTAATAGTAATAGTCTGTCTGAAATCGCTGACCGTTCTAACCTTTCCGATATAAACAAATACATGCCTAACGATTCTTAACAAAAGAAAGTGCCACAGCTTCGAACACTTTTACCCCGCGAAGCGTGTAGTTGGCATAGTGAATCGGTGTTTGAGAACTAGCCTTCCCATTTTCCTGTTCTCAACCTCGAAAAAGCGTAAACCTCTTTCCACGAAGGAACGAGAAAGGCGGTCGTTTTACAAGTTCGGAGGCTAGGGTATCGCAGTTATGATCGTGTCTGTTTTTCGGAAAAGTGCTCGGTTCCTCGAAAGGTTTCGATCCGTCACTGTAGTAAGGACGAACGTTACCCCCGTCCGGGAATATTTTACGATAATTCGGGGCGAAGATTTGAGTTGGAAAAGAATCGGAAGGAGGTCGAAGGATACGAGTTCGTCAGGCTATAGATAGTTGGTGAGCGGAGATCGTTTTGGCGGGCACCGGTGGCGGCGCTGCCAAGGTTGGCGGAGCCGAGGGGAAAAGAGCATTGGCGTACCAACTACCAGGTTGTGCCCGCCTACCAGGCGGAGCCCGCATGATCTATAGCGTCATAGAACACCCCTGCC